CATTAAAATGACCCTAATATATATATACACTAGCTTTCCCCCCGACCAGTTGGTCAGAAGACAATTTTTTTTGTTGTTGTAGTAATTCGATTTTTGTCTAATGACAATATTTTGACATATATAAAATTATTCGGCCTGATGGTTGTATATAATTAAATGATATTAATATAGTTTAGTAACTTTGTAGAATATGAATGTGACATGTGTGTTATGGTGGTGGATAAGTCGATAGTGTATAGTGATATAGAACTGAATGATATTAGTATAATTTTGAAATTCTGTTGAATAGGAACGTGACTCACGAACATGCGGTCGTGAGCATGGCTTTGAAATTTTTTTACTCTCAACACACATTAAAATAGATATCAATGTGTAGATAACATAAAATTTGATTATCTAGTGCAAAAATTTCTAAATTTGGAGTTGAAACAAAACAAATACATATACATTAGAATAGTAGGAGAATTGAAAGAGAGAGTGTGCGCTAGGTGACGCATTCTGATTAGATGACTGAAAAATCTAGAAAGAAAAAGGTACTCTTTCAATTTAGACCATTAGATTCACGAATAAAATAATAATAAAAAATAATAAATGAGTTAAAAAATTGATTGAAAAAGTGAAGAATAAAGTGAGAAGCTCTAGATAGATTTTTTGGGGGAATTCTATTGTGTCGGACCTGCACCGGTGGCACACGTAATAACCGGTTCCAACTAGTTTTCCCTTTCAAAAAACACGCAAGTAATTATTATTTAATTAAATGTTTTGCTTTATGAATTTATCTATTATGCTTTTCAATTTTTTATCAGGCGCATTTCATTTAGAGGTGACAAATGATTTGGATGGGTAGATACATGAATCAAGTGGATTAGATCAAATGGACCGGTGGATTCATGAATTGGATTATATGGATTGGTCGAGAAATCCATGGATCCAAATGGCATCAAAGTCTTGGACCAATATGTAAATTTTGAAAAGTTCAGGTACTAAATAAAATAAAAATATTAAGATACAATGAATTTAAGTATATATAAAACATATTTCAATACAATCTACTTACTATTGACATTCATATATAAATAAAATAAGAAATTCCAAATAAAATAACAAATGCTTATAATTTTTTTATGAATGCGATGAACTTTATTAAATAAATAGATTAAAAAACAATGCCCCACGAGCAGTTAGAGGAAAGAAACGACAAGAAAAAAAAACAAACCAAAGGAAAAGGAGCAGAAAAGAGATGCTCACAAACCAACCTGTAAGAAGGGGAAAGAAAAACAGAAACAGATTTTACCCTACCCGAAGACAAACAAAACCGAATGCCAGCTGAAAGCCACCATAAATCCAGCCCACCACAACTAGGAGGCTCTAAGTCTCCCAATATAGTTTCTATACCATTGGATCGCCACTTCCTTGTCCACCTTACCACGCGCCATAGTCCATTCCATAATAGCTCTCATGATCCTTCTTGAGATTGCCAGATCCGAGCTGCTTTCCTCCTGGAAAACCCTTTGATTCCTTTCTTTCCAAACCATCCAGCACAAAGCATGAATGACACTATGGAGAAAGCATTCCTGATCTCTACTGTCGCATCTATAAGCCAGTTGCTGATCACATCAACAATGTCCCCAGAGGGTATTCTGCACATAGCATCGACACGAGCAACCATCGGCCAGATATTCCTAACAAAGCTGTGCTCAAGGAAAAGGTTGTTGATGTTCTCCTCATTGCAGTAACACAGGACGCATCTGTTAGCAAGCATCCCTCCGCGAAATTTAAGATTGTCCTGTGTCAAGATCTTTGTGTGCCAGACAAGCCACAGGAAGCCACAAACTTTCGAAGGAATGAAGCTCTTCAACATAGAGTTGAGAGGAAACCCCTTCCACTCTCGGAAGCTTGTTATCAACTTGAAACATGTATAAAGAGTTAACAGCGAAAGGGAACTCCAAGTTCAGCAACCGCACCAATCGGCAAGGACTACAACAGAGTCTATGAGTATTATTCGACACTTTCCCAAGGAAACTCACCCTCTCTCTCAGCCCCCCAGATAAATTCATCGATAAAGGAACATCACACAGAAAATTCTCACTAGAGTAGGTCACAACATCAGAGATCCTTGCTTCCGGGCATAAAGCAGCAGCGACAATTTTGGGGTAAGAGTCGGCAAGACCTTCCTCGGGAATCTGGACATCATGCTGAGAGTGATTCAAGCACCAGACAAAAGGAATATGTTTTGGAATATGCTTTTCCAACCCTGAAGGCGGTTCTGATACTTTGCAATGACTGGATTCCAAATAGAAACCGCATTAGGCTTATCTCCCGAAGGCATCCCCAAGTATTTAGTCGGATCACTACTCTAATTGCATACAAAAATGCCAGCAAAATAACCTGGCTCATGAACATCCCCAACTGTAAACATAGTAGATTTGTTAAGATTGATTTTCAACCCGGTGACCGCTTGGAAACACACAAGAACATCCTGAATATTAATTACTTGATCCACCAAAGTGTCACAAAATATGAGTGAGTCATCGGCCAAGAGAAGGTGGGTAACCTCTCCCAGCCTCTGCTGATTGTCCATGAAGAAACCAGAAATGCCTCCCTCCCTCTAACCTTTCCCACCAAGAATGCGATAATGTCCCTGACCAAAACAAAAAGCCTCGGTGACAGAGGGTCACCCTGCCTGACGCCCTTCTCCGGCTGAAAGTAACCATAGGCCTCGCCATTCACCAGCACAGAAGTAACAAAAGAACAAATCATACCTCTGATCCAAAGTTGCCATTGCGGAGAGAAACACAACTGAGAGAGCATTTTAAACAGGCAATCCCAGTTAACATTATCGAACGCCTTCTCGATATCGAATTTAAAGAGAAGCCTCGGTCTCCTACTCTTTCCTCTGCTGTCGATCAACTCATTGGCGATGACCGTAGCTTCAGAAATGTGTCTACCAACAACAGAAGCATGCTGATTTGGAGAAACCACACTAGGAAGAACACCCCTCATCCTATTCATCAAGACTTTGCTGGCGATTTTGTTGAAACTGCTTATAAGGCAAATCGGGCGTAGGTCTCATATGTTTTCAATGACATCAACCTTTGGCGTGAGACAAATAAAGGAATGCGTGATGCTGTCCGGCAAGTATCCCATTCTACGGAAGTCATTGAAAGCTAAGAGGATCCGGACCTGGTGCCTTAGACCCATCACTGAATCTGATCGCTTCCCATATCACTTTTTCCGAAAATGGCTGAGTAATAGTATTCCCGATGCCCATATCAACTTTCCAGTTAAAATAATTGCCAGGGAAGGGCCTTCTGAGAATGGACTCTTTAAACATGATTTCGTAGTAGGAAGCGATCCCTTCACCCAACTCCCTCCTGCCTTCAACATCCACATCATTAATAAAGATCCGTCCAATGAAATTCACCTTGTGGTAATAGTTTGCCATCTTCTGAAAATAACCAATATTCGTCTCATACTTTTTTAACCACAACTCTCTAGATTTCTGCCTCCAAGAGATCAACCGAAGATTAAGGAGATTTTTCAAATCAATTCTCGATGCGTCCCTTTCGTGCTTTTCCTCTTTTGTAAGGTCTCTGCTTTCTTCGAACCCATCCAATCTCTTGATATAGCTGAGAAGATTATAAATCTTAACATTGATATTTCCAAAAACATTACGGTTCCAGACTTTAATATTACATTTCGAAACAACTAGCCTTTGAGACCACAGGAACACGTCACCTTTCCCATGTACAGGGATTTTACACCCCTCTTCTACTCCATGGTGAAATCTCTCATCTTCAATCCACATATTCTCTAACTTCCAAGGTCTTTTCATACGGGTATCCTCACCCCATTTAATTAATAAGGGGCTATGGTCGGATTCCACTCGATCAAGCTCAGAAAGAGAGCAATCCGGATACATCGTGTCAAACTCAGCCGAGATGAACGCTCTATCAATGCGCGAGAAAGAAGCCTTGCTCCACCCATTACTCCACGTAAACTGACTACCCCGAGAGAAAGTTCAATATAAGCCAAATCATCAATGAAATCGTTAAACTCCGTCATAAGGTCCGAACTCCTAGAGGCTCCAATGTAATCATCATGACCCCTAATCATGTTGAAATCTCCAGCTAGATACAAGGGGGACGTAGCTTGAGAGCATAAAGCCTGTAGATAAGAAAGGAAGCATAGTTTATCAGCTCTGTCTTGACGATCGTAAACCATCACCAGGTTCCACCCGTTACTAGATGAGACCTCTCGAAACCCCACCGAGAGAAAGAAAGAGCCTACAAAGGTAGACACAGCCTTGACAAGAAGTTTATCCTAGTAGACAACAATGCTGCCAGAATTGACTGCCATCTCTAATGGTAATCCAACAGGTTTTATTATCAACACCGGTTATACCAGGTTCAGCCGGCCAGTATTCCACCGGCATGACAGCTAAGCATACAGAGTATAAACAATTAACTAAGTGAAAAGTTCAAACAAAGTTGAAGACACTTAATGATAAAAAAAATTAACTAGTATTTAGTCCTGAGATATAATTTTTGTGTCATTGAAATGCTTATATAATTGAATTAGTTTTAATTTAATATTATGTTGTTAGTTAGTAAAAAGGCTAGCTAAATGTAAAATGGAAACTTGATTTCATTTGAAACTGCATGTATATAATTGAATTAGTTCTAATTTAATATTACGTTGTTAGTTAGTAAATATGCTAGCTAAATCTAAAATGGAAACTTGATTTCATTTGAAACTACATGGTATATAATCGTTATCGTAAGTGAATGGCTATTCGCCGCCAGCTAAAAAAACCAAAATTCAAAAATAGAATGCCGCTAAAATTTTATAAATACATCGTACCATAACTTCAAATACCATTTCCAACAAAAACGTCCGTCATCGAGCACAGTGTTTCCCTCGTTGGCACCGGTCCTCCATCACAAACCAATGTTTTGCGACCCGAGGAGGGCAAAAAAATCCCTCCAACACGGTGAAGCCCGCGCCGCCGTTTTCCTTTGCCACGGCCTGGTCGGCGCTGGCCGGAAAATCCGATCCGGTGTCGGCAAGGCTCGAGCGATGGCAACTCTTCACTTCGGCCAGCCCTGCTCGACGTCGGCCGGGAACTTTTCCACTGCGTAGGCGCGACTCATTCGTGGGATTCCGGCGGCACGGGCGCGGCTGAGCTAGAGCAATCCCTCGACTGGGCCGCGTACTGGCCGGTGAAATATTTTGGCTCGATTTAATTATTTGTAATTATTTTTAAATAACCTGATAGTATTTTATGATTAGTTAATTATTAAATGAAATTAGTTCATTAATAATTATTTAGTGATTGATTTAAAAGGTAGTGTTCATGAATAATTAGTTAATTATTTAATTAAATTAGTTACTGAATAATCAAATAATTAGTAATTGATTTAGCAATTAGTGTTATTATTTAGTTAAATTAGTTAATAAATAATTTGAACATGTTTATTGAGTAGTTTATTAATTAATTGAATTAGTTAATGTGTAATTATAGAGAGTTTTATTGACTAATTTGAATTGTTTAAAAATATAGCTAATTAATTAATTGCATTAGTTCATGCGAATCTAAGTATGATATTCTGTAAATTTGTAGATAATTAGATGTGGATGCAGGTGGAAGTGAGTTGCCTAGATTCGATAATAGGATTGTTGATACATCAACACAAAGAAAGGTGCTATATAGAAGAAGGATAAGAAGCGCGTTCGACAGATCGAACATCAGTTAGAGCTAGATGTAGGGGAGGAGGAGTTAGAGGCTCCTCTTGTAGTTGCTTCTACGACAGCACGGGTGACTATGTATAGGGACCGAGGTGACGGCAATATCATGTCCGACTATGTATAGGGACCGAGGTGTGCGATTCGTACCACCTACTCGGGAGGATACAGAGAGCTTCGGGACTGGACAGAGTAGGAGAGGACAGTCGAGTGATTCTCGATCGTCGAACTAGTTTGTGAGTGTCCTGGTGGACCTTTGGATCCTAGTCTCATTAGGAGCTTCCGTGGCCGCACTACCTATGCTCTTTGAACAGCCATTGGAGACCGAGGGGTCATTACTTGCTACAGCCATACATTGTCGGTTGACTATCTGCAAAACTATCATTTTAGGCATGATGAGTCGGAGGAGATGGTTCAGTAGACAGATCTCCAGCACCTTATATACTGCATGTTTCGCAAGATATCGATTGATCATGCTTTGCTTTCAGCTTTTTTGGAGAGGTGGTAGCCAAACACTAACACTTTCCACTTGCCTTTTGGAGAGATGACGATACTCCTCCATGACGTTGAATACCTACTACAGATTCCTGTCGAGGGACGGCTAATGGGCAGGAGTCGAGAGCAGTTAGACCATGTGGAGGTGGGCTTGTGTGAGCTTCTTGAGATGGACTTCGAACAGCTGTAGGGTAAGTCGGAGGGCCCTGGTTATGGTATGAGGCGTAAGTGGTACAACAAGGGTGGTTTTCTTGCAGAAATGGCGTCTAGATACTGGCAGACGAACGAGACAGCTTCCACAGAGGCGTAGGCGTACATGTTGTTGCTGCTGGGGTCCACTCTGTTTCTGGACAAGAGTGGAAACAAGGTTTGGTCGGTGGTGAACCTCTTTTTTTTATCCCTTCGAGCAGGTATCTGAGTACAGTTGGACGTCAAGAACACTTGCTTGGTTGTACAAACAGCTTGGTTAGGGGTCTCGAGCTGGTGCTAGGGGGTTGCTGGTTATCTCACACTTTTGCAGTGTTGGATCTACAATTACTGAGTCTCAAGCCATCGCACTTCTATCCAATCGTCGTTGGATCAGATGAGTCTTGGGCTTCACGATGGATTGGGCTGCCGACACCAGCTTCTGTGGCTTATCCTAGTGTGAGGTTGGTGTTCTACCGACAAGCTCTGGACAACTTGACCCCTGCTGATGTGTGTTGGACACCTTTCCATCAGCAACCTCACCAAGTAGTGCATCGGTCTTGGTACACTAGAGTGATCCGGTTTGCTGATGTAGGCTAGTTCTATGAACGACCATCGACACCTGGAGGATGTCATTCACATTCCTGAGAGATCTGAAGTTGCATGGGATGGCCTGCTATCCCACATTTTTCACATACACATGTACTCTATGCACTGGAGTAGTGCAGTCAAAATCGCGCTTCAAGTCGTAAAAACGTATGTTCTTACGTATCTAGGTCGCCAAAACGATTCAGATTCCACCTAAAATCGTTGAGTCTATAAAATCATTCAAAATCGTAGGTAAAAGCGGTAAAATCGGTAAAAACTTATAAAAAGGCTTTTTTGCTACGTTTCTATGCGATTCCATGCTATGTTCAGAAAACTTACTTTTGCATCAAAGTGATGTCGTCTTGTTGTTATAAACTTAAAAAAGATTATGAAAGGGGATGTCGAGCCCAAGCATCTTAAAACCCCTAATCCGAGAAGAGAGAAACAGCCTCCCTCTGTCGCTGCTTCTACCGCTTCCAGGGCTGCCTCCACCGCTCCGCCATAGATCGTGGCTGCTGAATGTACCGCCGCCATGGGCCTAATTGGGCTGCAATTGTCTCTGACTACTTGGTGAAAATCATTAGTTACTTAACCCTTTTGTTAATCTTCGTGATTTTGGAAATTTAATGGAAGCGAATTTCAGTGTCGTGTCGTTTATCAGGGTTTTGATTTGTTCGTTCCCGGTTCCGAATTCTCAATTCAATGGTTTTCCAGCGTGCTCTTGACTTGTTTAAGCGTTGGGGACCAAGAAAGTTTCAATTTTGATTTGTGGATTTATCAAGCTGCTGATTTCTGGAAAAATGAGAAGAAAATGATGTAAAACTTTGAAAAGAGATTCCTTAGTTGCAAAATTGATGTGTGACCATGGATCCCCGAAGTAAACTTCACGATGCTTTATTCATCTGATGTTGCTTGTAGTTTCACTTCCTTGCTATAGTAGTGTCGTGAGTCTTGTGACTTAATCTAATTTTATAATTAATGTTTGCTACACATTACTGTCACTAAATAGCTCTTATCTTATGCAAGCTGCAATCTCTAAAAACATATGGAGCTAGCTAAATGTGTAAGCATCTCTAGGTACATTTCTATTGTTCTTTCATGATGCTTTAAGAGAACGAAAATTTGAAGCCCTGAACTTGAACTGAAGTATACGTAATGGAGTCAAAATAGTGGCTCTATATTGAACATTTAGACTCTTGGGCTTCCTTTCATTTTATGCAAGCAAAATAGATTATTGTTCAATGACCTTATGCAACATTCAACCGATTGGTGGCCCTTTCTATAAGATGTTGTTAGTTTGTTCTATTTTAAAGTTGAATCAAATTAGTTTGTGTGGGAAATTACATCTTCAACAAGAAGAGTAGTTAGTTATTCACTTATCTAAAAATTTATACACTCAAATTTTAGAGAGTGAATGTCATATTTAACTAATTTATAACTATTTTACAGGATGCATTAAAAACTTATGTTTTTACGTTTTGCTTTTACGCTTTACGCTTTTACCCATTTTCCGTTTCTAGGTAGAATCGCGCTTTTAACTGCATTGCTGGTAGTGACACTTCCATACGAGACGACGCCTGACTATCTTGACTGGTTTATCACCCACTCACATCATAGATTTCTCCCTGATGATGGAGATGCAAATCTAGTTAACTCCACAACGGTAAGATTTGTGTCTTGAAAACGTTTCAATTTGAAACAATATAAGTAAAATATGTGTGAAACTAAAAATTGTGATATTTGTTTTCATTGTAGCGTGCTCGATACCTTCTCTACACTTTGGCACATATAGTTCATGGCGCAGTGGGGACAAAGGAGGAGTGGCTGGAGCATCAGCATGGTGCATACAAGATACTGCACGGAGTGCAGAATGTGTGGACCGAGTACTGGGTGGGCCAGGGACTCCCCCCTCCCTAATGTTTAGTATAGAAGGTTTAGTGGTTTTGATGTTTAGTTGTCATGTTTGACTTTAGATTATGTGATATGTACTACAAAAAAAAAAAAATTGTATCGAATAAAATATATACTTCGACTTTCTTGTGTTAAAACTTTGGCTCATAAATAACAAAAGTACTATACGGATTTTTTAGAAAAGGTTGGGGTCGGAATTGTTGGAAGAATTTTTTACCGACGAAAAACATATTCGTTCTTTGATTCCAAGAACTTTGTCTATACTACTTAGCTTTCAATTCGCCTCTGACCATCAAATGCAATGTGAATAACCCCATCCTCCTCTCTTTGAAACAAGGGGCGCTTCTGGTTCTGTCGGCGCTTGAATCAATTTTGTCTTCTCCATATTATTCTATCTCCTGGATAAGATGTTTGACTTATGTTTGGATCAGATTTTAGACCATTTATGTATGGATCGGATGTTTGACTATTTATGTAGTGCCATTACCAAAACATTTAGTAATTTTACAAAGATTAAAACTAAGATTGTGAACAAAAGAAGTGCAATGGAAGAATGTTGGTGCAAGGGCAAAGTGCACATGTGTAGTGGCAAAATACAACATTCAAAATACAAGCCATACAAATAATATACATGTTGATGTGACTTGAATCGGACTATCAGGCGCTACGACTGGTAATCGGGGGTCTCACTGTATGGGCTCAATGTTATTTGGGTTCGGGTTCTAGGCCTGGTCTGTAACCATTTCCTTTGCCAGATTGGATTAGGTTTAGACCCACATGGAGAAGTACTATAAATACTTCTCATACTCCACTGTAATCTGTAATCTCCTCGATATAGTGAAACTAGATCTCTCTCGCCCGTGGACGTAGCTAACACACATCGTGTTAGTGAACCACGTAAATCGTGTGCCGTGTTTTCGATTCTCGCTTTCGTATTCTTGCTTTGTCGATTCCAGCGATTTCCCAATCCGTAGCAGCACGTTTATAACAAGTGGTATCAGAGCCGCGGTTGGAAATCAGGCTAGGTTTTCGATTAAGAAGAATGACGTCGGTGAACATGAAGATCGAAAAGTTCACGGGGAAGAAGAGCTTTGCTATATGGCAGATCAAGATGCAGGCTTTATTAAAATAGCAAGGGCTGTGGGGGCCGCTGTCTGCGAAACAGAAGAAGGAAGCGGTCGATGACGATAAGTGGAATACCCTGGAGGAGAAGGCCCACTCGACCATCATGCTATCGTTGTCTGATAAAGTCATCATTGAAGTTTCTGCTGAGAAGACTGCCGCGGGCTTGTGGTTGAAACTGGAGAGTCTGTATATGACGAAGTCCTTAACCAACAAGCTGCATCTCAAGCAACGGTTGTTCAGCTTGAGGATGCAAGAAGGTACGCCTTTGAGGGAACATCTCGAACAGCTTAACTCTATTTTGCTGGATCTGCGTAATATAGATGTTCAAGTTGATGACTAGGTTGTTGCCCTAATCCTACTGGTTTCTTTGCCGAGTTCATATGAGAATTTCGTTGATTCTTTTATTGCTGGTAAAGAAAGCGTGTCGTTGGAGGATGTCAGGTCTGCTCTTCATACGAGAGAGATTAGACATAAGGCGTCTGGATCTGGTGCAGGTGGTGAGGCATCGGGTTTGGCTGTTACAGATGGAAAGGGAAAGAAGAAATCTGGTAAAGGGAATTCGAACAAGAATTCCAAGGGTCCCAGTCCACAGCCAGGTGATGCTTGTCACAATTGTAAGGAAGTGGGGCATAGAAAGTACAACTGTCCCAAGAGAAGAGGGCAACAGAAGAAACAAGGTTCAGTTGCCGTGGCAGAAGTGGACAACAGTTCTGAAGACGATCTCGCCTTGGCTGTAGATGAGAAGGCACATCGTGGTGATGTGTGGTTTCTGGATACTGCAGCCTCATACCATATGTCTCCGAACAGGGATTGCTTCACAACCTACGAGCAGATAGATGGTGGTAACATGGTCATGGCTAATGGAGCTGTCTGCAAGGTTGTTGGAATCAGGTCCATAAAGGTTCGGACACATGATGGTTTGTTCTGTACCGTGAATGATGTCAGGCATGTTCCACGAATGACAAAGAACCTGATCTCCTTGAGTCTACTCGACATCAAGGGCTTTAGCTTCAAAGGAAAATGTGGAGTTGTGTATGTCTGCAAGGGTTCGAGGAAGGTACTGAAGGGCGTGAAGCGTGGGACCTTGTATGCATTACAAGGGTCTGTGTTGTCTGGTTCTGCTGCAGTTGCATCGTCTCAGGTTCATCAGGAAGATATGACCACTCTCTGACACATGAGACTGGCCAGGGGCGGAGCTACAACATGTCTTGGGGGGGGGGGGGCCCGAGAATCTCGAAAGTCACGTATAAATAAGTTGGGATCGTGTGTACAAACCACAATTTTTATATAAAATACAAATCGTGCAAACTTGAGCCATAAAGTTTTTTGTAACCCAGGGGAAGATGAGCTATTTTATCACCCAAAGGTCTTGGGTTCGATGCCATGGGGAAGCAGTTTACACCTTTCCACTAGGTTAATTGTTTTTTGGTTAATTACTTTTATGGTAGTTTACATAAACTACAACTTCTCCTTCCTTTTTTGTTATAATAAGTGGGTATTAGATACTTTAGTCATTAACTTTATAATTTTTATTTTTCCCTTTTAAGTTGTAGTTTACATCAATTAATTACCGCTTTTGCTTCTTGAAATACATTATTTTTCTTTTTCTAATTTATAGTAAATATAATGGAAAAATATTTTATATGGTAATAATTAAACAAAATTAGTATAAAAAATAGATTTTTAAAACTAAATATTTTAATTATTAGTATTTTTTTTTTAGTCTTTTGCGATAATGTATTATGAAATCCGGCCGACCGACCCCCCCGAGCACTAAAAGCTAGCTCCGCCCCTGAGACTGGGGCATATGAGTGAACGAGGGATGCAAGTTCTGTCGAAGAGTGATCTTCTTTGCGGGCACAAGGTGCAGAATTTGGAATTCTGTGAGCATTGTGTGTTTGGGAAGCTACATCGCAGCAAGTTTCCCAAGAAGGGTATCCACCGGACGAAAGGGATACTGGATTACCTCCACTCCGACTGTTGGGGTCCTTCACGAGTTGAATCCATTGGAGGCAGCAGGTATTTTCTGTCTATTATTGATGATTATTCGAGATTTACTTGGATTTTCATGATGAAGCAGAAAAGTGAGGCTTTCACGAAGTTTAAGCAGTGGAAGAGATTGGTGGAGAATCAAACCGGGAAGAAGATCAAGAAGCTGCGAACGGACAATGGTCTGGAGTTCTGCAATTCTGAGTTCAACGAATTCTGCAAGGATGAAGGGATTGCCCGTCATCGGACTGTTAGAGATACACCCCAGCAGAATGGCGTTGCAGAAAGGATGAACCAGACATTGCTAGAGAGAGCACGGTGCATGCTCTCTAATGCTGGACTAGAGAGAAGATTCTGGGCAGAAGCAGTAAACATGGCGTGCTTCCTGATCAACCGTGGACCTCACACAGGTATCGAGTGTAAGACTCCTTATGAAGTGTGGTATGGTAAGCCTGCTGATTACTCTTCACTGAAAGTTTTTGGGTGTCCTGTTT